TTCCAGGTCAGGGCACATGCCCAGGTTTCAGGCTAGGTCCCCAGAGGAGGGTGAGCCAAAGGCAGCCGATCAATGATTTGCTCTCATCATTAAGGTTTTTTTCCCTCTCTCCCTCTCTCTGAAATCAATAAAAACATTTTTTTAAAAAATAGTCTTATGTAATTTAAATCAATTCCTAATTTATTCCATAAAGACATATTAATAATATAAATAACTATATAGAAATTTGTTTGAAATTCTAGCGTCAATGACTTTTACTTGAATTAGTGACCATAGTATCTACCAAATGAAAAATCAAGTATTAAGATAGATATAAATACATTTCCATAAAACATTGAAAATCTATACATTTAAAGTTTGCATCAAATGTAGTCCTCAGAAAAAAAAAACTGAAAAATAATATTTTATATGCTAACAATTAGAGGGATAAAAGCCTTCCCAACTCCCTGAAATGAATGACATAAAAGTAAAATTTATTAGCATTCATAATTATATAGCTTTTCCATGATTACATCTGCCTGTACATGTAATATGTCTACATTACTTAAGGTAACTTTTTGAAGATATGTATTAGTGATTTAGTCTAATTCAATAATCTCAAAGTTGATGTATTAAAAGGTACTTTACTGACATTTAATATCATGTTTCTATTTGTATGAAGTTCAAGAAAAAGCAAAAATAATCAATAGTGGCAAGGGTCAAAATGATGGTTACAATAGCAATTAGTATCGACTGACGGTGTGTAAAAATCACCAAATTGTAGACGTCAGATACATGTTAACACTTGATTGTATGTATTTGTTCTCTTTATTGGAAACAGAGTGGTAGTGTATCCCCAAATTCATAAGCTACACATTTGCTTGTATATGGGTACAGTTATATAATACATTATGCAAGCCAAAACTACAAGCCAAAGAAAGTCCAAGTATGTCTAAAACTTTAGGAATCTGTACCCAGAGAAAATAAACATAAAGTTTTAGGGTTTTTGTACCCTAAAATGGATGAAATAGAGGAGTGTTTTTCTTCTTATTTTGCATCTTTTAACCTCAGTGTCTGAAGACTTCATTCCCTTATATCTCATTTCACAAAATAAAGCTTAGCTTTAAGGCAATAATAAAATATCAATAGAAATAATAAAATATTAAGAGATTTATAGTGCACTGTCATCACAACATTTTAATTTCTAGAATAGTTGGTGAAATATATATTATTTTATTAAAGGCAACTTACTAAAGATTTTAACTATCAGTTTTCTTCATATAAACATTATTCTTTATTTAAGTCTAGACATGCCAATTTAGAGTTAAGATATATGTATAATTATATAAAAAGTATGTAAATTATATATATATATAAAGATGCCAGCTGCTAAACAGCGCAACAGAAAAACTTTTAATTGGAAGCACAAAAGGTATGATGTATTTCTTATTTTCAGTAATAGGAAGAACAAAAATTGATTGGCATGGGAAACTGTGATCTGAAGAACACTAAACAATATAACAAATGTTGGTAGTACTGTGATGATAGGCTACGTCTGTGTTGGTGCCCAGAACGTGTCCTTAGCCCCTCTGTGGGTAATGTCAACTGTGATTTCCTCCAGTCATTTGAACAGTGACCACACAGGACTAATCTGGACAGAGTTACTTGAGCAAAGCCCAATTCGAATTTCAAAATATTTTAGCTATCTTAGAACAACCGTTCTTATTAACAAACAAGCCTATGGTCAGCTTCCCTGTTTTGAATGTTTAATCCACGTAAGACATGCATTACATAGGCAAGTAGGACATTGCCTAAACACTGTCTCATTTAGTCCCTTTAACAATTCCGTGAGGTGGATATTATACCACTTCTGAACGTGGACATCCATGTGGCTATAGGTCAAGTAACTAAAAATAGTAGGCAGGGGTTTGAATACAGAAGAGTCTGTCTCCAAATGCTATGGTTTCTCCAAATCTCTGCACTACCTCAAGAAAAATGTCTTCGGTGTCAAGATGATTTTAAAATTAGCTAAATCAGCAGACTTCCCCAGTTAAAAGAAAAATCAAATGATTTTAGAAAGTTTTTGTACTTTGAGAGTACATAAACTTTGCTTTAAAAAAGCTTACTAGGAAGGAAACACACACACACACACACACACACACACACACACACACACACACACACCCCTGCCCTTTGTCCCATGGGTGGGGAACAGTTCTGCCTATGAATTTGTCTGGCCCAACTTAAATGAACACTGTAATTGTAAACCTTTTCATTTTTTTTTTCCAGTTCTAAAAGTGTATGGTCTGGTAGCTGCTTAAGTGCATCTTTTGTTTGGGGAAATATAATGAACCCTGTTGTATATGCCAAGGTATGTTGGAGCTTAGTGGTTGGGGACTGCAAGTTAAATTTCTCTGCGTAACAAAGTAACAAAAATGTGTAACTTTCAGGAGACAGAGGTTGAGATGGAAGATGGACTGCAATAGAGAAAGGATCCCTGAAACAGTAAGAACATGACCGGAAGCTGGGCCTAAGGAATAAGACAACCAATGACAGTCCCCATGAGATAAGCAATCATGAAATTCTAGATTCCTAAGAAATTTTAAGTTGTTTTCTTTCCATGCCATGGTGAGTCCACCTCCCTTATTTATGCTCAAGACTGTAAATATATAACAACATTGTGCCAGTAGAGAAGAAAGGAATTGCCCCATATGTGGCACAAAATTACAGAATGCAGGAAGGCAAGGAGAGGAGTGGTGATCAAGAATCCAATAGCCAACCAGGCTCAATGGTTGAGCACTGGCCTATGAACCAGGAGGTCAAGGTTTGATTCCCCGTCAGGGCACATGCCTGGGTTGCAAGCTCCATTCCCAGTAGGGGGCATGCAGGAGGCATCCGATTAATGATTCTCTCTCATCATTGAAGTTTCTCTCTCTCCCTCTCCCTTCCTCTCTAAAATCAATAAAAATACATTTTTAAACGTAAAATATTAAAGATCATTGGCTGTGTAAGGGGCCCCAAGAAGAGAAACCCATAGGATTTCACAAGGATTCATCCTTCGGAGGGGTAAAGTGGTTGTGTTTTGTGCATGCCTATGTTTCTGGTTCCTAGTTCAGTTCCAATTCAAAGTATATTTTCAGTTAAATATTGTTCACAGGCACTGAATTTTGAAGAGCAGAATCCTTTGTTTCACCACCTCTGTTCTGGATAATTCATTCATTTATTAATTCAGTGGCTCACATATCCAAATAGTATAATAGACATTGAGAATACAACATTGAACAAAATGGACGTAGGTCCATATACTTGAAGTATTAAAAAGTATATAATTATCACATGAGATGATGTGTTACTTCTTGATGGCAAGAAGTAGGGCAGTGGCTAGTATGATAAAATAGTATGAACTTCAAAGGACTAGTGGTTTTCAAAAAGGTAGGAAGTGTCCTTGGGCACTGATGACTATGTTTACATGCAGTCATGTGGGAGAATGGGCTACAATAAGGTGGGAATGCAAGAAGGTGGAGGGAACATTAAAAGAAGATAAAGAGGAAAGGGTTAGACAATCAACGTTATTACTAATGCCCCCTTATTCTATTCATAAATGTATTTACTGTTTCAATAATTCTTTTAATTTCTCTGGACCTCAGCTGTCTTGTCAGTAAAATAAATAATTGTGCACTAGTTAGCCATTTGATACTGTAAGGTCTTTTCTATTTCAAATATATATCATTTAAATCATTATACTACGCACTTGAAAAGAATTATACTTTATATATAATTAATATGCCCAAGATATCCTTGACTTTAAGATACATCATAGACTTAATAACAGCCTTGAAGGAAAAAGAAAGAAGACAGTATTCCAACTCTAAGGTATAATACAAGTTTGGCAATGAGGAAGTGTAAAAAAAAATGTGCATCGTAGAGTCAAGGGCCTAAAAATATTCAATAGAGGCATAACAAATTATCACCATGCCATCAATTAATTTTATTTCCATTAACTTTATAAGATGGTTCTCTTATAATAAAAAAGTACAGAAATACCTTTTTAACCCAAGGCAATAATATCCAGAAAAGTAACAAATAATGTACACAATAAATGTATAAAAGGGTAATTGGTATGTCTCTCATTGCAAGGACTACTATTTTACTTTTCTTAATAATGACTTCAGTTAACATAGTCTAGAAGATTGACTTTTCTAATGATAAAATGTCAAAACTTTGACATTTTATCATTAATAAAGATTTGAATTTTCTAGCTTTTTACGTACAAAAGCCCCTAAGGGTAATATTGTACATCAGACATGAAATTCCAGGCCATTGCTGTCTGTTTTGACTTTGTAAAATGTTTGTTTAAAATATCCCAAAATATGTTTAGTTTGTTGATTTTTAAAATACTTCATGTGGCCAAAAAGAATATAGATTAATTTATTTCTTTCTTATATAAAAATTAAATTTTGGGGGGAAATGAACATATATTCATAAACAGATATAATTACTAATTCATTATGTCTACATCTCACATTAAAAAAGCTACCCCTAGTTATATACCCGCTAAACCTAAGTGAAGATTATTTTAAGTCTATGAATCAAGAGCTATGCTCTGAACCTTAAAAAACAAAACAAAACAAACAAACAAACAAAACAGCTAACTAGTTCAAAAACAATAAAGATAAAATAACCACACTATTCAAATTTATTCATTGAATAGGCTTAGAAAATCAGGACTGGATGTGGTTACTAATTATTTTTAAATACTTTTCATTAATAGCACTAAAGGGAAAAGCTGCAGAAAGCAATTAATTTGTAAATAAACAAAGAAGTAACTTCAAAGAAAACTCAAAAGCCATTTTCTTCAAGCCATCTTTTTAAAGGAAATATAAAGACAAAGATTCTTTTTCCAAATACCATTCAATGTCATTATAATGACCAACAATTGCTACTAAGTTTTTTTTTAAATAACCTACATAATTCTTGAAAAGGGGCCCATGCAACACAAACCCACACTCCACCAGACAACATCTAATCAGTCAGCAAATATTTATTCATCACTTACTAATGCATGCAAGAAGCAGGGAACAAAGAAGTTCAAAAAAATCAGTTCCTGCAAGTCTGCAGCTCATGGACTGGAGAAAGATACAGGACAGAAAAGCAGCAAATGTGGAAGTGGGCATGGGTCAGACAACCAACTGGAATACAGACAGCTTTTTGATGAGGAAAAGATACACAGTTGGGAATTTTTGACACTTATTTGTTTAAAAAAAATATATGCCGTACACCCTCCATGCCTACCTACATCAGTTGAAATATTATTCTTTTAAGGAAATGCCTAATATGCCACCCCAGCCAGGCAGCCTGGCCTAAAATGCACAGAAGAGCCACCCAATGAATGTTGGCCAAATGAATAGTCTTTTTTCTCTCTCTCTCTGCAAAGCTGGTTCATATAAGAGTTCAAAACTTCATTAGTGTGCAGTCAAGTGTCTATTCACGAGCAGCTGAACAGTTTTAAACTGCAATTTGCATTCTTGAAATTAGAGCCTTTTTTCTGTGTAAAATCATTCCTCACTTCTTCATTAAGCATTTGTTCAGTACCTGTGATACATAAGACATTCATTTAGTTGCTGGTAAACTGACATGAGAAAAATACTCTTACTTTCCGAGCTCTTAAATTACTGTGGGAAAAAATGTTTACTAATTTTTATTTAGCAAGAAAAATATCAGCTAGTGGTATGTGCCAGGCAGAGAATTGAAATGATGTGATGTGATGTGATGTGATGTGATAGAGACATGGCGGGTCCTTTAGTGCTCACAGAAAGTGTCTTCATTTTGATTCCTCCAGAAGCAGAGTTTTGGACAAGAATTTAGGGGCAAAAAGATTATTTGGTAGGTGGAAGGAACATCAGGATTGAGGGTGAGGAACTGAGACAATGAAATCAAGTAGCCCCAGTGGTGAACACATACATGCTTCTGAGTTTTCCGTCTGAGGGGTGGGGATCTGGGTAACGTATATATCAAATCCTATCAGGCATTGGTTGAGAGTTGATGGGGGGAAAAGAATCAATTCCCCAGTACAGTTGTCCCTCGGTATCCATGGGGAATAGGTTCCAGGACCTGGCAGATACCAAAATCCACAGATGCTCTAGTCTGTTATACAAAATAGTATGATACTTGTATATAACCTACACACATCTTTGAAATCACCTCTAGATTACTTATAATACCTAATACAGTGTAAAGGCTATGTAAATAGTTGTTATACTGTATTGCTTAGGGAGTAATAATAAGAAAAATATCTGTACTTGTTCAATACAGCTACAACCATCACAAGCCTAACTACATAGCATTTGTTAGTAACTATGTAACATTTTTGTTCAATTATCTTTGATTTGCCATTGGTTGAATCTGCTGATGAGGGACAGCAGATACAAAGGTCCATTTTTTCTGGGCAGCAAGCGGAGGCTCACTAATGGAGAAGACAGTGCCTAGGGAATGAAACATAGGTGCTGTAATCGTACAGTAAAGAATTCAGGGCACAGTATATGGGTGGGGCCTGCAGGGCATCTTGTGGAGGAGACATTTATGCTGGAATCTAAATGGAAAAAAGAATCTGGGGTAAAAATGTCCAATCAGGGGAAACTGCTAGAACAGGATCAAGTTTGAGGTGCAGATTGAAGGTCCCCTAGCTAGCTAGACTCTATGGAGCAAAGGGGAAGACTGGTATAAAATCAGATCCCAAAGAACTCTGGAAGCCAGACTAAAATGCCTGGAACTTATTCTAATGGTACTAAGAGGACATAGGTGGGGAGTACAAGCTTCACACAATCGTATTTGCATACTTTAAAAAATTAGTCTGTTGGAAACAAATGAATAGTGAGGTCATGAGTGTAAACAATAAATCTAGTATACCGCTGCAGAGGAGTGGTGGTGGGGTCGAAATGAAGAAAGCTGATCTGATGATGAGCTGAATATGCAAAAGGGGTGGGGAAGAGGTGGCCTCAAGAATCCTTCATACTATCTTCACTAGCAACTCTGTATATGGTAATGGCAGTGGTACCTTTTACTAGGAAGGAAGAAGAGGAGAGATATATATTAGTGAAAAAAAATCAAGTTTGTTTTAGTCACGTTAAAGTTAAGGTGCCTATCAGATATCTGTAGATAGATAAATATACAAGTTTGGAAGCAGAGGAACATCAAAACTAGAGTTAGATAAAAGGGTGTCATCCACATATGAAGCATTTGAAGGCCAGAGAGTAGATGACATGACTTAAGGGCAACATCAGATATAAAGAAGAAATGGATCCAAGGACAGACTTGCATATTGCAAATAATAAATTTATATGAATGATATTTATTTATTTATTTATAAAATATTACAAAGAGTAGTACATATGTCTCCTTTTTTTCCTCCTTGACCTTTCCCCCAGCCTCCCCTACCCCCCAGTGTATATGAATAATATTTTATTGTATCACAGTAAAATGTACCTTAGTAGTCACAGTCAACTCATTATTTCATTCAGTCTTTCAATATTTATTTAATATTGAATAGACTTACAGAATTATGCTGAGAATTATAGAAGATTCAAGATATATCATACATTAATACTCATTTTTAAGAATGAAGGATCTACAAACCCTTAAAGATTAAAGATTGTGCTGATTGTCCTAAATAACAAAGATACAGAAAAAGGACCATGGAAACTCAGAGGAGAAAGCGATTATTTCCACCTGGCAAAATCACAAAAGGTTTTGAATGGAAATAGCATTTAAGCTGGGGCTTAAAAGTCTGTTCAAATTTGTAGAGCTTACCCTGTAAAGACTTAAGTAATGGATGCATTTCAAGACTGAGAGACTTAAAGAAGAAAACCACAGAGACGAGACACTGGAAGGAGTGTGGTGTTCATTTAAAAAGTTCAATTTGCTAAATGATAAAATGTATGAAAGGGATAGGTGGCGAGTATTTCTAGAATACCAGATGCATTAAATACATCTTGAAAGTATTCCACATAAGAAAATAATTCACTTTCTATGCTGCCAAATATATATTTGGTTGGGTTTAAAAAAAAACATTTTAAAAGCCATAATTGCCTTTCACTTCCATTTAATAGAATATTATTTTCCACTGTATAAATATGCCAAAAGCAATCATTATGCACTTAGAAATTCACTTCTCACTTATCTTATCCATTTGGGTTATATTTTGCCACACTGTAGATCATTTTATAGCACCTTTTTCCATCTATCAATCCTGTTTTTCCTATAAAGACTAAAAACTCATTCATTACAGTGAGAGCTGTCAGGTGGAAATTAGTCACTGGTCAGTATAAATGAAAAGAATGAAACCTGGGCTCGGTAAGAAGATGAAACACAGGATGAGAAGAGTCAAGTACCAGGGGATATGCTGAGGCCCAATGACCAAGGTAAGGAGTAGACAAAGAAACATTTCACCCCATTCTATAGTCTACACTCATCTATTTAGATAGTTTTCATTTTAAATCCATCAGTTCAGTTCCTTTGAAACAGTCTTTAAGAGTCTATGAGAAATATCCTTTTATGGTGGTCTTTAAAGACATTTTAGTACACAGCTCCCAAAAAACAGAATTTACCCATATTTGAAAAACACTGTGTACAAGAGATTCCCCTTTTTCTCATATTGCTTGTCATAAGAATAAAGTTTATAATTACTGAAGGGCCCAGTGTTTATCTCTAGAGGGTTCTCAAGAGCACTGTCATATTAACAATACAGGATTGCACGCACAAGAAAGCCAAGCAAAATAACACAACGAAAACACAACAGGCAAAGAAATGATAAATGTAAAGAAATAACAAAATATAAATAATTGCAATACATGAATCCATGACGGGCAATTTAGGAGGGTCAGCTGGAAACAATAGACAAGGAAGTAGTGACATGCTTCGTAGAATAAGCATTATAGACCCTCAACAACGTGGAAACCCTGAGTTTAAAAAAATGTGCAAAATGACAAGCTGCAAGAAAATACAACAGCAGTTAACCCTTTGGAAAATGACTGAAGAATATTAAAAATACTACAGAAATGATGAGTTAATCTAATATCTAATTACCTGTGTATTTCCAAAGAAAATTGAACACTGTTCAAAATTTAGAAATTTAGAAAATATAATACTGTCCACATCCTTAGCTCTCTAGGTGACATACCTTTCCTGGGAGAGGAAAAGGAAGAAAAAGAAAAGAAAATGAATAAAAAGCATCACATCTTATAAAGAAATTTTTATGGCTCATACAATCAATTTTTCATAGCAAACAAAAAAGCGGGAAAAAGGCAAAATTATAGAACTACTCTCCAGCTGGAAAAACAAAACTGATTTGCCCCATGGCATCTGAACCAGTAATTTCTCTTCTTCCAGCCTTCCGGAAAGCATCAAAACACAAAAGAATTATCCAAAGAGACAAAGTCTTTCCTCTTCCCCCTTCTCCTCCTTCAATGAATGATTTACTGTTCAATAAGGGTTAACTCAGGTCAACTTTTTTTTTAAAGGAGCTAGTCTCAACCTTTAAGCAGAGCACAGCAGAATGGAAAATATTCCCTGGTTACTTATTCTTCAGCTACTTATGGATATTAGGAATAGTTGATAACATTTTTAAATACTTGATGTCACATCAAGTTACCTCTCCTGCTTTCAAACGGCCCTTTCAAGATTTCTGTGTTGACAGGCCAGAACCTGTCGTGTCCTGCGAAGCACAGAGCCCTGCTCAGGAGGCCCACACAAGTAGAAATGATGAAAAATCCTCCGTTCGCCGACGGTAGTACACCAGATGTTAGAACATCAAATGGTTGTCATTGGATTTGGGGTTTAAACAAAATGAACTGGGTTATGAATGGAATTCAGTTGTCCTTAGCCTCATATTTCTAATCCCCCAAACATACACTTTAATTTCTGCCTCACCTGTATATGGTTGTGTGAATACTGCGAAACTTACATAATTTGTATGAAAGCATTTCTTAGAACTACATTTCAAGAAATAACCTTGTTCAAAAGCAGCTTAAACTGAAAACATTCTAGATGGTTCACCCTTATTGTTGGGCAATTTTTGGGGGTAGAAATGTGGAAAAGTAATTTCTGGCAATGAAAAGAGGATGTGCAAAATTGTGCAAAAATCAAATTTGGAGACCTGAGAGGGTTTCAGAACAGCAGGGACTTAAGATATCTGTGGTGGATGGATGAAGACAACAAGACATTTAAGCTTGATCAATGAAGGACCTGTAGACTAGAATATACTATTATTAGTTGTTCTGGGGAGAGAGGCAATGTATAGAATGAATTGTTTACATTATCTTAAAAGACATTTTCCTTAAATAAGGCATTACCACAATAGTCACATAACTGTAAACAAAAATGAAATCCCATTATAGAGCTGAGACTCCTAGTAGTAATAACCACAATGAAGCATCTAAGTTTATACTTTTATTATATATGCAATCCAGCCTCACTTCTTTTTTCTTATCTCCTTATTAAAGTTCTAATTTCCCTGTTCAGTAACCCCGTATTGTATTTTAACTTTCCTACCCTGCTACCTATGGACGGGAGGTGGGCAGCATAGTGTGGAATGCAGCAAAGCCATTCGGAATAGGAAAAAATTTGACAAGAATTGTGAAAGCAAAGGATGTGACAGCCTCAGAAGCCTGACCTTTTGAACTTGAAACCAGATGTATGACTCAGCTCCCCAGTACACATGAATTCTTTTGTATTATGGGCAAAATGGCAAACATTTCCTGTTATTAAAACATTTTTGGATTACCTTCCCAAGAGTAATGCAGAGCTTCTGAAAAGATAACTGCACAGTGACAATAAAAAGATTGTTAAGTGTGCCTCGAAGCGATAGGGCAAAGAGTATTATATTACCACTGAGAAAAACACTTAAATTATAGACAAAGATCCATGAAGGCTTAAGTTGCCCGGGATCACATTAACCTCTTTGGTTAGTGCCTACGCTTCAGGACACATGACAATCACAGGGCTGGCTTGCTATGCGGGCGGAGGTTCAGCAGTGATTCTTTTATTACTGTCCAGGAAAAACAGCCCAAGGTAATCTTGAAGCACATCACACCTGACCTGTTTATTGCAGCTGGCACATGACAAGGCCATGACAATGGACAAATGCAAGGCTGTTAGTATTAGAAAGGAAGCTGCTGACCCTTACTTCTGGAAAGCTCGCGTCCCCTGAAACCTTGGACCACCCAGACATTCGCTATGATAACTATCCTCTTAAACTAAAGTGGAGATATTTATTCAGAATTATGGTTTATACTTACTGCGGAGCATATCTTTGTATGAATTTTAAACATTACGTTTTATAGGAGGTTTTTTTTTAAGCTACACCTGATGAACAGAAATTCTCAGATAGTAGAGTGTGCTTTAATTGTACTTCTGAATCACCTTTCCCTTGAAAATTGTTCCATCCATTCTTCATTAAAAGTAAATTACAACAACATTTTTAAAAGTAACTATAATACCTGGTTATGATGTGCATTTATAGGATATGATCTGGCTGAAAAATAGCACTGAAAATGTATAAATAAAAAGGGGGATGGCATTTACTCAACTAATGTAATTGTAACTTAATCTATTATTAGAAACTTTCAATTTGCCAAAGAGTCTGTTTTAATCAGGAGTCTGACTGTGTTCAATTCTCCCCCACATTTTCTATAATTTATATTTCAAAGAGCAACATTTTTTAAAATGTTATAAATGAATGCACTTAGGTTTAACTTTCAGATACCCAGGCAAGTATAATATTTACCTTTTCTCCTTAAAGGAAGTAAACACAGAAACGTCACACTATTATCTGTGCTCAAGAGTGAAGAAAAAAGTGTGGAATGAGAGTTAATATTTAATCATAATCATCACCTGGTGAGTCAGACAGCCCTGTTGAGAATCTGAACTCTGCCACTTCACACCCAGCCGTAAGACTGTGGACAAGTTTCATAACTTCTGTGAGTCTGAGTTGCCTCACCTATACAAGAAAGTCGTCTAACTCATAGGTTTACATAAAACCTAAATGAAAGAAAGTTAATAAAATGCTGGCCCAAAGTAGACGTCACTAGATATTAGCTACACACCCGTCTCATAAAATGGAATGTGGCTCACGTATTCAATCCTCACCCGAGGATATTTCTTTTAGAAAGATTTGAAGGGAGAAAGGGAAAGGAGAGGGAGAGAGAGAGAGAGAGAGGAACATCGATGTGAGAAAGGCACATCTATCGGTTGCATCCTGCACATGCCAAATATGCCAAATCGGCCAGGGATTGAACCTGAGACCCTTTGGTACATGGGCCAATGCTCTAACAAGTTAGTCACATAGGTCAGGGCATGGTTCACATCTATATATATAAAAGCCTAAGTGACCATTAAGACCAAACAACCAGAACAACCAGTTGCTATGACATGCACTGACCACCAGGGGGCAGACATTCAGTGCAGGACCTGACCCTGGTGGTCAGTGAGTTCCCATAGCAGGAGCGCTGCTCAGCCAGAAGCCGGACTCATGGCTGGCAAGCGCAGCTGTGGGAGCCTCTCCCACCTCTGCGGCAGCGCTACCAAGCTGCAGCAGCAAAAGCAAGGTGCAGAAGGGCTGGGATGAGCTGTGCCTAACCCCGGCTGGGGCTCCTCCCCGGCCGCCTGCCACTTCGGCACTGCTACACCCCTCAGGGAATGTCGGACTGCCAGGTTTCGGCCTGATCATTGCAGGCCAGGCCCAAAGGATCAGGCCGAAACCCAGCAGTCCTACACCCCACCGAGGGGTCCCAGATTTTGAGTGGCGCAGACCAGGCTGTGGGACCCCACCCATGCACAAATCCGTGCACCAAACCTCTAATATTTAATAAAATACTCAAACCAACTACAGTAGATTCTCATTATTGGTGCACTCCATATTTGCTAATTTGCCTATTGGCTAAGATGTAGTTGCAACTCCAAAATCAATATGCAGCACTTTCATGGCCCTTCAGGGACATGTACATGTGCAAAGTGGCAAAACCTTTGAGTCATCTAGCTAATGTGGAATACTGTCACATTCTGCCTTCTGGTTTCAGCTCTCAACCTGTAAACAACTGTCCTTTTTGCTGTATATTTAGTGACACATGTTCCACATTTTTGTGCTTTTTGCTGGTGATTTCATTGTTTTAAATAACCCCAAACCAGGTGCTGAAGTGCTGTCTAGTGTCCTAAGCACAAGAGATACGTGATGTGTCTTATGGAGAAAATACATGTGTTAGGTAAGCCTCCTTCAGGCATGAATTACAGTGCCCTTTGTCATGAGCTCAAGTTAATGAATCAACAATATAAATTAAATATGGTATCCTTAAACAGAAACACACATAAAAGCAGGTGAGGCATTGATCCTTTGATGATAATGTTGTGACCATCGGCTTGCAGGAACCTGATCCTGTATTTCCCCTAAAAGCAATAGTTCAGTATTCTCTAATTCAGTGTTTGCATTGACTTCATAGAACATAACTACCACAAATAACCAGAATTGACTGCATATACTATATATTATGTTAAACAACAGGATACACAAATAAAAATAAAAAAAACACAGGTTCCTTACTCTCAAAGAAATTAAAATGTCAAGTACACACTTTGTAAAAGATGAAAATATGAAGAGATAATTTGTGCCTTTCCTTTCCCAATTATGTAAAATACATAAACATCAAGCCATTGGAGGTTAATATTAAAATATAAATTACCACTTTTTTGGCTGGAGTCAGATAATACTAAAATATGCTGGACTTATTTGCTAGCTCTATGACTTTCTGTCAGTCTATTAGTTATAAATCCATATATGTCCACCATCTCCATAGGTTGAATTTTAAAAGGTATTCGTCTTTTGTTTGTGCAGGATGTGAACTGTTTTCCCTGAGAATAAACTTTGAGATTTCACTGCATCTCAAGAATAATTCAGAATTTGGAGAAGTAGAACCTTAGAAGACAATTTCCACCACATTTCAGGTCTCACTTTTTTTTAAAACTTAATTTATTTTATTTTTTAATTTACCTTTATTGTTGAAAGTATTGCAGATGCCCCTCCTTTTCATCCCACTGACACCGCCTCCACCCTGCTCCAGGATGGGTAGAGGGGGCTGGGAAATTAGGCCTTCACCACCCTATTGTCTGTGTCCCTG